CCACCCTAAAGAGCTCTGGCTCCTCAAAGCTTCAGAGCTGGCTCTCCTCTCTAGCAAATTCTCTGGCAACAGAGAGGGATGTCCCTGCTAAAGAGACAGGCTAATCTATGCACAGATTGTCCCTAGAGAAGAGTACAGAACTAGAAATAGTGATTACTTCCAAGGGAGTGTGTCTGACAGACTGGAGGGCCACTGGTGGGAAACTTCTCACTGTTAAACCCATGTGTGTCCTTTCAATACGTTCCCACATAGAAGCATTAGCTATTTAAATGAATCAACTGATCAACAGGTCAATCAATAAATCAAATCGTCAAAGAGGGAGCCTCTATTTCCTCCTCTCTCACACTGTTTTGTCCTCTGCTGTCTTGCATTAGTCCTCAGCTCTCCACCCAAATTGCTCTTGACCTTGTTGAAATTCAACCAATTTTTCCCTCTTTATCTTCCTGTTTGTTCTGTTGCATTTTGACATCTAAAACACATTTCCCTCAGCCTCAGGGAAACCAGTGAAATGATCAAGAAGTGGAAGGCCAGGTCTGTCTTGACCACCGTTGTAGTCCTATATGGCAGAGTGCAATGTCTGGCACACTTGTGTCATATAAGTATATGGAATGAACACGCTATTAACAAAAGAAACAAAATCAAAACAAAACCTAGTGACCAGCCTTAGAAGTATAAACTCACAAGAGGCATCTTGATGTTCACATTACCAAAGGCAGAGGCCACTATTTTCAAATAAAGCAGTCCTTAATGTGATATATTATTTTTTTTGCAAAATGTTAACATTGCAGAAACTAACTAAACATCAATGTTCCAAAAGGATTTCTCAGTATTATTTTTAAAATGCAAATAAAGCTACAATTATCCAAAAATAAAAAGTGTAACTTAAAGCATTAAGTGCAAATCTGATCTGTCAGCTAAAGAAAAAAATTTACCATTTGGGAAGATCATTAATGGGCAAACCAATGAAATGTCACCAGATAGCTGAGTTGTGAGCTGCAAAGGTGCAAATGACCTGACATAAGCAGAAGGGTGCGTGGGTACCGCCTGACAACTGAGGCAGATCCTGGGCCTTGTGGGCTGGAGCTGTAAGAGGCTGGAGGGTCAGGATGGAAAGAAGTTGCTATTGACTGTATTTAGCAGAAAGGCATGAGCTCAGAAAGTTTTCTAGTTTGCAAGCAGAACTTTAAGGGAAAAGGCAGAGTCCAGGACTTGTAAGTAAGCTGACTTTAGGTGCTACTGACAGCAAGAAACAAATTTAGAAAGTGCTCGAGACAAAGGACTCAATGCAAGGTTCACACTAAGAACATGGGGGCCCAGCAAGCTTCAGCTGAACAAAATGGCTCAATGAAAAATGTACTGTAAGAGTTTTTTTTTTTTTGACAGATTTCCCCAAAGACTTAAGGTTTAAATCTAGAGATATGAAAGTAAGGAAGCAAAGAAACAACTGATTTGAAAACCCAACCACAAAGACCAACTGTGTTTGGCTTCTGTCCCATCTTGCTCATTGGAATCAACCAGGTAAATAAAACTCTCAGGACATTTTTGAGACTCATTCTGACCAAAACAAAAGAAAGCAAAAACAAGACAACAACCCATGAGCCCAACTTCCACAAGTCTCTGCTCAAAACTTAAAATGACCCTTGGGTCTCTTGTCTTGTGAAGGCAGGAATGCCTTGAGATGTAAGCTTGCAGGGAGAACAGATTCCCTCCACACATTGCATGTGGCCAAAGAAGATGAAAGAGAGATAACGGAAATGGAAGAATCTGGCCAAAGGAAGCCAGAGACCAGAGTACAAGCAGGTCTAAAGAAGGGAACCCAGTCCTAAACAGGAATACCTACCATGCCTCAGGCTGTTCAGTGGACTTTGGAATTCTACAGACCATTCTCTCCTGTCCAGTTATCATTTTAGGCAATTTGTCTTTAGTTTTTAGGTCTCACAGAGAAGTTACCTATGTCCTAATGCAGACACCTACGCTGTGACCTGGGTGGTGACTATGTGGTGTTTTTGGATCATCTCCCACATGGTGCAGCAGGAGAATCTTTGTGGGAAATTCACTGTATATTTAGAGGCCAGAAGGCAATGTGGACTTCTAGGACTCAATCTGGATCTGGCTTTCTTCTCCTGCCAGGCACATGAGTGGATTATACTACTCTGGCCCCTTTTAGCCAATGGACATCAGTGAAAGTGACAAGCTATCACTCCTGGGCCAAATCACTGAATCCCTCACATGAGCCCTTCGGTGTTCTCTTCCCTTGTCAGGCTTTTAGAGAAGGGGTCTCTGGTTGAGAGGATGGAGCTAAAAGCTTTGACACAGCCTGTCCACTACACTACTGGCTGAAGCACAGGGACCAAGATGCTGCCTGGATCATGCCATTTTGTGACAAATGAGAAACTGTTAAGCCACTGATCATTTACTGCAGAATTAACCTGAATCTATTGTGACTAATGCAACTATCAGGCACAAGTGGTACTCCGGATTCAAATCCCAATTTGATTTGGGCCTAGGTTTGGAATGAAGGATGACCCAGACAGCTGACAAGGTTGAACCTGTTAAGTAACAGGGAGGCAGAGTAGCAATGGGTGGGGATAGAACAGGCCTGGGTTTAGGTCTTTGCTCCTTGACAAAGATTGTCAAAGCACAAGTTGGGTGCTTCACTTGAGTCTTGGTTTTGTTTACAGAAAACTCAAACCCAACGGGTCAGAAAGCTAAATGAACTTAGGCACAACTTATGCTCTTGATGGGATACTTGAATCTAGCACATTTATTTCTTCCTTTAGGCGTGTGAGTGAAAAGATACTTGAAGAAAGCAGCGTCTCAGAATGGCCAAATGGCAGCTGGGAGCCTGGAGTCAGCAGGACTCAAGAGGTTGTGGGTGGTGACAGTCTGAATGGCAATTATTCCCATGTGACCTTGGGGCCAAGCCCAGCCCTAGTGACAAGACCCTAAAAGCTGACCTATTGGCTCCTCCTTGGATAAAGTGATGGAGAGGGTGCAATCCACTGTGCCAACGAAAGCACAGTGGTGCCAGCTCTCCTGTTGGCATCCCCCTCTCCTTGGAATCTACAGGGCAGGCCTGGGCTGGCTCAACTTTCAGTGCCAGCCCCAGACACATGTCAGGTCCTGACTTGCTGGGTCCATACCTGCATCTTCCTCCATCTTTAATAGCCAGTGAGAGGCTCTACAGAGTTCCAGGCAACGTTTTGAGCTGCTTAAGCAAACTTGACCTTGGAAGACTGCTTAGAACTTTTGAAAGCTTGGGTTTAAGTTACATGTAGACTTAACTGAGCCAAAATGATCAAATGCAAGGGACTATGGGAGAATTAAAAAACAATGGTATTCTCATGCTTCCAGAGCTGTTAGAAGTCACATGTAATCTACCAACTGTGGTTAATCCATCACCACCAGCTTTCAAAACAGGCTTCCAAAAGCAAAAATGGTTTTCAACACCCGCAAGAATCACTCAGCAGGCTTGTTGGGCCCAACCTTGTCTCTGAAGTCAGTGTGGGGAGGAGAGAAGCACATTTTTAACAAGTTCCAGGGTGACGCTGATGCTGCTGGCTGGGGAATCTATGTACAGAGGACCGCTATAACGGATATTAGTATTTATTCAGTTCAGTGCTAGTAAGTGGTACAGAATGCAAATGAATCCCCACCCCTAATTTAGAGGTAAACAAAGGCTAGGGTAACAAAAATAGCAAGGATGAAACATCTTTGAAATTTTGCTATAGAAGCCAGACCTCACTGAGCATACAGTTAAAACCGGTTCTAGACAGTGACGGGTTGGGAACGTTGGTAAAACATTAAGTTGGGAACTGGACACATGCTGGGTCTCCAGTATCAACTGCAGATGCTGCTCCAGCCAGAAGCGGGCTTCAGGATGGGACATGTTCCTCCCCTCTTTGACTTCCATCTTTCTCTTTTTTGCAGTACTGGAGATTGAACCCAAGGTTTCACGAATGCTTAGGAAGCACTCTACCACTTCAGCCACACTCCTAGCACTTTGGAGATAGTCTCACTTTGCCTGGATGGCCTCAAACTCTCAATCTTCCTTGCTTCCACTTCCTGAGTAGATAGGATTGCAGATGTGCATCACCAAGTCCACCCTGACTCCCATCCTAAATGAGGTTTTGATGTTTTTTTCAGTGCTGGCAATCTGCTCTAAAGTCAGCTCTGCGCCCCTCTGGGCTATGGCGGAAGGCAGTGGTTTTTTAAAATGTAGGAGAGAAGTCTGACTGGAGGACAGCAACAACTCACATCTTGTTTAGTAATGATCACAGCAAGGGTGCTAAGGGATGCAGTATTTCTGTGTCCGAGTCCTCCTCGGGGAGGAATTTTCTACTTACGTCATAACACATGACTTTCTAGTTTCCACACTACTAAACCAACACCCATAGCATGAGAACTCACAGGAGCGTGCAAATAGATTTGGCTGGTGACTTACTCCTGAGGAAATAGAAGCTGGCTTTCTTGTCCTGGTCTCTGTTAGTGCTGTCTGGCTTGACCAGCCCTCCAGCCAATTGCACATATATGTGGGAGGGTGGGGAATGCACATTACTTCCCTTTGGATTTGGCTCAACAGTGATGTGTCTACAGTCACTTCACTAATATTACTGAAAATGTTCTGCTTCTGAGCTCTCTGGCCTATGTGGGTCTTGTGGATATATCAAGACGACAAAAAGTAGGAACTCTGGTATCTTGGCATATTTAACACTGTGTGAAAGTAACGGTGCTTTCAGCTGGCCCAGCCTTCTTTAGTAATGGGAAAAGTGGAGACACTGGCAGACCAAAACCCATCTGCTTAAAAACACATAAAATGTAGTCAAATGAATGTTTGCAGGCAGTTTCTTCTGAGTTTTTTTTTTTTTTGCGGTACTGGGACTTGAACTCAGGATCTACACATTGAGCCACTCTACCAGCCCTTTTTTGTGTTAGGTATCTTTTGAGATAGGGTCTCGAACTGTTTGCCCAGGCTGGCTTCGAACTACGATCCTCCTGATCTCTGCCTCCTCAATAGCTAGGTTTACAGGCATGAGCCACCAGCACTTCACACCTCTTTCTTGTTGAATTGAGGTCAGTGTTGGACAAGCAAGATGCTGGGAGGGTTGACTGGAAATAGCTGTACACAGCAACCTCCCTCCTAGAGAGATGTCTCATGGGAAAGGAGCAACCGAGTTGTAGTCTTGAAGGTCTGTAATCTTGAAGACCTCAGTCTAAGCAGCTCTGCAAAAGTAGAACGGGTAGGCCGGCCACTCGTATTTACCTATCAGTAGAGTCGGAGAGCTTTGGTTGTGGAGTCCTGTAGCTAAAAAAGGCCAACAACGTGTTTCAGCTAGAAATGGAATTACATCCACCAGGAGATGGAAAAACAGACTATAGCTCAGATGTCATTGTTGTCTGCCATGATGGTATGGCTAGCTTGCTTTAAAATGAGGTCATGCTGCAAAAACAACTTGCTGAATTCTTGGCACAGCAGTCACCACTTAGGGGTATTTATACTAAATGTGGAAGTGGAACCTTCATTTTAACGTGGATTCAACTAAAGGGTTAAAGTTCATCAGATTAGGGCACGGGGTGCAGCACAACCGCAGAGCGTGAGCTCACTGATTCCCAGCACCACTCCCCGCCCCTCCGCTGAAAAAAACAAAACAAACAAAAAACCCAAACCCCAAGCCCTCAAAACAATAAACTAAGCACATCAGCAATATTCAATACAGACTCAATTACAATCCAAGGAATATTAGTCTGAAAAAATCTTTGATGTTGTCCAAGGCTCACTAGAAAGTGCAGTGGAGGCATACAGCATCAGCATCATCAGGAGAACTTGTGAGAAGGACAAACTCTTAGGCTCCAGCCCAGAACTTCTGAATCAGAACATACATCTTTCTAAGATCCTAGGTGATCCTTGCGCACACCGAAGTCTGAGAAATGCTGACAAAACATACTGCCCTCTGCTGATGACCAGTATCAGTAATAATTCCTGGGGGAAAGGCACTGCTTACAGGCCCCCCACCAACTAGCTGCATCTAACAGCTTGAGAGAGCAGTTCTGAGTTAGACCAGAGAGTCACAAGCAGGGGAAAAGGGGCTCCTTCACAGATTTAACGATTCACTTGAAGCCTCAGAGAAAAAGTAGTGCGATTTTATTATAAAATGCCATTTATTGATCCTTCAGTTTTCTAAAAAACACAAACATGAGAATAGAACAAACACATCCCAGACTCACTAGCCCTTGCAGGACAGAAAGCAGCCCTGGACAGGAAGCTACAGTGGTTTTAATACAATGTCAGAGTTCCCTCATTCTCTCTAAGGCTCCATGTTTTGTCACCTCTGAGAAGGGAAAGGAAACTGACTAGAAGACCCACATACAAGAAGGCCACAACTTTAAGGTTATCTGATGTTAACGGCGTGTACATTCCTGTTTGTAACTCAGACACAGTATCAAAAGCACTGTCAAGTACCTATTCCCACTGATCAAACTGTCCTTATTTTTGGAAATTACCTTTGGAACTGGTTAAGTTCTTTCAGTGTAGTTTCTGTTTATCCCAGAGCACGGACCATAAATCCACGTACAGTCATCACGTTCAAGTATAAATGTTTGTTTCAGGACAATCCCAGGTTGCTGTAGTGTCGATACTTCTGTAGTGTCTATTGGGTGTTACACCTGGACAGGCTGGGCCAAGTGGCAGTGCAACGAAGGGGCACACACGTGCAACTGTCCCATTACCAAATTTGCTCCTTGTTCAATATAAACACTGCCCTAAAGTCAAGGCCAAAATCCTGACATCAGTGGTGACCCTGGCTGGCCGAAGTACTCTTATGAAACAGGAATCCATTTCTTCACCAATAAATAAATGGAGCATTCGAAAGGCATCAGACATATTCTAAAAAGAAGATAATCATATCAAAATGCTACTTTTGATGAGAGACTACATTCACTTAATTGTATGTTCGTAAAAGAATTTACAATCAAATAGAGACTTAAAATGAATGTTTTACACTCCATAATGAACTCCAGGTCCCCTCCAGAGGTTAAAAAACAAAACAAAACAAAAACCTCACGCAAGTGCTACATGAACCCAATACTCTTGCATCATTCAGTCATGATGCTCAAAAGTCCCCCACCAACTCACTTCACTTACCAGATTTACTAAGAAAGCAGATATCTTAAAGAAAGATAGGGAGAGAATGCCAATGGCAGAACAAGGAGATAAGAGAATCCCCAGGAGTTGCCAACAATAGCTAGTTATATTCACTAATGCCTCCCCAAATCTGCACAAAGCATCCATTTGTGCATCTACAGCTGATTTTTAAAGTTAAATTCAATATACATTAAGTGCAAAAGGAGAACAGGAGAATCTCATGGTAATGGATAGTGGTAAAGCACAAGCCCTATAACCACGTGGAAATACAGCAGTGCTCTGTGCAGACTGAGTCCCACCCAGGACACCACTTGAGAACACACTGCTTGATTTTACATGAAATTGCAAACTCAGGTGAATTCATGTCCAGGGGAGAACCTCACTTAAGCAATTTTAGACAAGAAGACTCCCACCTGAATCTTCATCTTAGCTCTGGTGGGACAAAAAAATCACACTCATTGACACAGAAAAGTGCTACCAGTTAGTCCTTAGTGAGAAAAAAAAATGCACAGAAGGTGAAGCTCACCTGTAGCAAACAATTTTTTGAATGGATGTGAGTATGATCTCCAATTATGGCTCATACCTTTTCCATCAGTTTTATCCATCTATAGGCTAGAGATAAATGCTGCTGGAGAAAAGATGAGGTACCAGACCTTATGAAGCATCCTGGGATGGAGCTGGAGGATCCTGGCTTTCAGGCTCCAGAGGTGGTGCTGGCACAGCTTCTTTTTTCTGGGCTGCCAGGAACTCATGAATTGCTCGCTCTATCTGTGGCCTGAAGATATGGTTTAGTTTTGGATCCACCACCTGAGAAATAATCCTGTCCACTCCTGCTTCCAACATCCCTGACCTTGTGGAGACAAAACAGATCACTCTGTTAAGTTTGTGAGTAATCTTTAGCCCCAAAAAGCCCCACGTGCTATGTGAGAGCACAGTAAATGTCCACCTGGTACCCTGCTAGGGAGTTCCTTCAAAGGGCAATACACAGCCAGAAGCTACCTATCATTCATATTTTAGTCTCAACCTCTGCTACCTCAACCTTATACAAACAAACCACAGAAAACCAAGCAGACTGCTCCAAAAAAGAGCAAGTGATAACATGGCAAGAAAGAACCTGATGACGTGCAGAGGTGAAAACCTTAATCATTCTGTAAAAGCCAACAAGTCTTGGATTCGACTTCATTTTATTCCTTATTTATTCCCTTAGTAGCCAGAACACTGGTGACAATCTGGTTACTAATCCTTAATAGTACAACACAAACAATCAGGGTGGGAGTGTTTATATCATAAGCAACTCAACACTGCCTCCAACTACGGTTGTTACCTGTAACACATAGTAGGCAATTTGGAAGCAAACTGGTTCTAAGCTCCTACAGGTCTAAAAATACATCCCCAATCCTTTCTGAAGCAGAGCAAAAATTAGTCAGAATTTATCAATGTCTGATTCCAACAGTTGAGGTGGGATAATGAGGAAGATTATGGTGACAGGGTATATGGAATTTGAGGAGTGTGGAAAAGAGCTCATATGGGCTCACCCTAAGTGTTCCTCTCGAAGGCCTAAAGTATTCAAACAGTGCTACAAGTATGCAGAAAGGTTTTGCTCAGTCTCCTTTAGATCTTGAGCGTTCAGGCCATTCAAGTCCTTGCTTGTGTAAAAATAGATCCTTGAATGGGCAAAGAAAACGAGTGAGTGAATATACAGTGAAAAAAAAGATGAGAACCAGGCCTTGAACTAAGAAGGCTGCTGAGTGTGTCAAGTGCTTCCTGGATTCAGTGGTAACCAGAAGCTCAGTGACTGGAAGCCGAGGTGTAAATGCTGCCATTACGGGAGCATTTCAGGTAGACTTGATAGTGCTTCTGCCCTTAAAAGAGCAGCATTGTGAAACACAGTGAGGACAGCACCAGGCCTGAGGTCAGTTAGGAGGCAAAGTTGCTTTCCATTATCAGCCAGTACCTTTCTAGCTTTACCAAACCATGTCCGTAAGCACAGACTTTAATAGACATAAATACCTAATGTTATGGACTCAATACTTATGCCCCCTAAAATTCTATATAGAAATCTAATCCCCAACAGGACAGTATTTGGAAATGGGGCTTTTGGGAGGCAATTAGGTCACGAAGGTAGAGTCTACACAAATAGGAGTAGTTGTCCTTATAAAAGGGACCCCAGAAAGCTAGCTGGCTCCCTGGTCTGATTTCTCCAGAACTGTGAGAAATAAGTTCCTATTGTGAATAAGCCACCAAGTCCATGGCACTTTGTTAAAGCAGATCCAACTGACCAAGATACCTGATCAGGGAGAACAAAAGAGAGCACAGTTCATTTTCCTGGAAATTTCAAGTATCTGGAAAAAGCATTAAGCCTTGTCAGGAGCCTAAAACAGAAGATAAAATGAATACCTTGTGTTTAAAAGATTTGCTGGTCATCCTTCTGTTCACCAGTAGAGCCTGACCTGACTTCCAGTAGTCTTCTAGGTTGGGGCACTGAGTGACCATCTAGCAGCAGGCCAAGGCTCTGAGTACCTGCCCGGTACCACCTGGTGACAGCACTTAGGGTAAGAAGTCATTTCAAAACTGATAGTTTGCCCCAAATTCAAAGTATCAGCCAGAATCATGGAGAAGTGCTCCCTTATTAAAGCCAAATTCATGTTTTCAGGTTAAACGCCTAAATCTTAAAAAGAGGGAAAAAAATTACCCAGGCTTGTAAAACTGAAGAAAAACAAGGAAATGGTGACCATGAAAGTCAAGAAAAGGGAGGTCTGGCCAGGGTATTCTGGAGGGTGATGGAATGTTCTAGTTCTTAGCCTGGTGATGATTAGAGATGCCCTAGTTCTGCTGTACCTTTTGTTCTGCGCACTTTTCCTATGGAATTATGGAGAAAGTACCACACACATACCTCGAGGATGGCATCAGTGCGCATCATAGAAATTAAGAGATGACAGGCTTACTACTGTGGTACTTTCCAAATAGTCCAAAACATTTAGTGTTTTGATTTTTTTCTTAATATGCCGGCCAATGCTTTAGAAGGCAGGGCGAACACAAAATTAGTTAACTGGTTTTGTCAACTGTAACACAGGCTGTCTGTGAGAATTAGCGATAACATATGTAAGGACTGGACACATAACAAACGGCCACTAAATAAGGGGCGGCTATTGTCCCCTTCTTTCTGAAAGATCCCTGTGCCGCCAGTCCGCTCTCAGAGAAAGGGAAAGGCACAGGGTAATATCCCCAGAAAGACAAGATATCATGCTTCTTCCCTAACACTCAAAGAGCTTGCATAAATGTTAGCTTTGTTTAAAGGAGATTAAGAGTTCAGCAGCCACAAGCTATATTACGAATGTTAGCAAAATTCTTTTTCTATTTTTAAAAACTTTTAAATTCTGAAATCACTATAGATCTATAGGTAGTTGTAAAAAACAAATGTACCGGGAGGCCCACACACTCCTCACTCACCCCCACGTGATATTAGTGCCTTGTGTAACTACAGCATAGTATCAAAACCCAGGAAACTAACAAGGAGCAACTCAGATCTAACATAGATTTCAGTTATACCTGCATTCACTCATGTGTCTATATGGGGTATTTTTGTGAAACTTGTTTTGTGTTGCTACAAAAAAGTAATGATGCAGGCTTTATCTGGCTTATGATCCTGGTGGCAAGTAAGTCCAAACAGCATGGTGCCAGGGTCTGGTGCAGGACCTGGGACAGCATCACAATATGATGGACAAGTGGAAGGGGAAGTGGCTAGGTGAGAGGTTACACAGTGAGACTTGCTTTATAACAGTGGAATCCAGTCCTTGAGACCTGTGAGACAGCGCTATTCTGTTCTTAAAGGCATAGCCCCCATAAACTCAACACCTTCTACTAGGCCCCACCTTTTAGAAGTCCCATCACTTCAACACTCACCATACTAAGAAACAAATTTCTAGCACACACACCTATGGGGGACAAACCATATCCAAACCATAACATGACAGGAGTTGCTTCATGGAAGCACCACCATGATTAAGATACTTAATTATACTACCCAGAGCCCCTTGTGGTATCACTTCCATGTCATACTCCCCCTTCCTACTCCTGGCCATCACGAATTTGCTCTACATCTCTGTAACTGCTAGCTCATTAATGTTATAAATGGAATTATCCAACAGTTATCCTTATAAATGTTGGCTTTTTCTCACTCATAGTAATTTCCTAGTATTTCTATTTTTGGAGAGGCAGGCATTACAAGCGTTTAGATATTCAGGATAATTTAGTGGAGCAAGAAGTCCTGGGTATAAGTACTGGTGTTTAAAGCAGGTAAGAAAAAGTATATCTCAAAATGTCAGATTCCATAGCCCACTTCCATTACTGACACTGACAGGACACCTGGATGAGCTCTCTGCAGTGCCTTTATTAGCAAAGGCTCAGTTTCTTATCATGAAGGACAGTATCTTAAAATAATGTCTTCCTGAAGCAGCCACTACACTTTAGAGGTGGCCACAGAGGATTCAAATAATTTATAGAATTCACATTCACTTGTGAGAATAAAGATCAAGCTTCTTTGCCCAAGATCCAAACACCAGTATTTTGGTATAAAACTCACATCTGTGTTTGAATTGCACTGAAAAGGTCAAAGAACCAGGAACAAGCCTGCAAGAACTTCCACTGTACCCAGCAGAGATGTGCACACAGGAGGCCTCCCAAGCCCAGTAGACTAGCAAGGATTCCATGGAGAGCCTTGCTTCCTTCCACCTAGACTAGGAAGGCACAGTCTGCTGCATCCAGTGTAAAGTGCCACCAAGCTTGGCTACACAGTGAAGACTAGCTTTTGGATACCATACTTGTAATCACTGTCTTCCAGATGCTCTCAGTTCTTACTTACTGAACCACACTTTGCCTCAGACCATTTCGCAATTGATTCTTGTTCATTGTTGGATTCCATTCCTGTTTGTCCAGATGTGTTGAAACGAAATTATCCACTTTCTGCCTCAGGTTTTGGTAAGCTGGCTAAAATATTAAAAAGATAATGTCAGATGTTTTATACACCAGAATTGTGGAATTACATGATTTAGAGCAGTGCTTTTCATAAAAAATGTTTATTTTCTAATCTAAATTTACTTCCACCTGATTATGGAGATCACTGTGTAGCCGTTACCAGTGCCTGCCACCTGGCACAGCACAGGTGTTTAACTTGCAGGATACCTCCGAGGGAGGTCCTGATAGTATTCTCCTGCTCCCATTTTAGAGATCGAAATCGAAGGCTTAGAGTAAACAACCTGACAACATGGCTAACATGTGGCAAAGCCAAGGTTCGACTCAAGCTACTTCTGAATCAAGGACGGAGTTCCAGGCCAGGCTCCATCACTTACTAGCTGTCTGATTTTCAGCAAGTGCCCATCCTGAGTCACAATTATTTCCACTTGACAAACTGAAAGGCTCCTGCTCCACTTACCTCATGGACGTGTTCTCAGTAACAAACTCAGGAAAGCCCCTGCAGGAAACAAAAGGTCCCTCCAAACCTCAGCCTGATTCAAGAATAGACAAAGCTCACGAACACGGTGAAAGACTGTGGGGAAGCAATGTCGAGGCCCACAAAGGAGCACAAGAGGCGCTCAGATGTCTAGAGCCAACTATGTTCAAAACAAAATTAGAAAGTTGCTCAGTGAACACAAGAATGTATGTTCTGGGCCCCTAAGGCCTTCTGGAGCCATCAACTGCTCTTTTCCAAAGCAGGAGTGACTGTGGGCTGCTGGTGGGAAGGTCACCCCTCTTTCCCTCCTGCCATAGGCACAGAATCCTTTCTCACCCCACTGATGCTGAATATATCAATGGGGAACTCTGGCCAGTGGCAGGTTGGTGACAAGAGGCTTTGAATGTGATTGTGTTGTCTAGTTTGGCTCTGATGCTCTGCAGTCTCTATGTGAAGCCATCTGCCCCCACAGCCTAGGGCCTAAGATGGGCACAGGCCTATGTTAGCAGGCCTAACCTCAACCCACAGCCTGGACCCAAGCCCAGACAACCTGCAGTGTGAGCCCACAGCTGAGGCCAATCCAGATCAGCTGAACTTTGGTTGACCTGAAGCCTTTTCAGTGTGAGAACAAATACTTACTGCCAACCACTGAGCTGTGGTTTGTAATGCAGCATGATTGTGGCAAAGTTTGCTACAGTCAGGGAGATGGAACCAACAAAGGAACCAGTGGGACTCAACTCTATGAGTGAACTCTTCCAAAAGGCCAAGTGTAGACCCACAAAGAGGGAAAAGGAATTAATTCAGATTCTCATGTACTATCTGACTAGAAACTCCACAGAGGCAATGCAGATATTCTCTTGGATTTCCTGAACTGGAGCGGAAAGTCCCCCACTAGGGGAAGCTGTAGTATGTAATCAAGAGTTGACAGCAACCAGCCAGGTGTGATGGTGAATACCTGTAATCCCAGCTTGGCAGGCTGAGACAGTAGCATTGCAGGTATGAAGCCAACCTGAACTATATAGCAAGACTAGCTCAAAGAAAACCAAAACAAAAAGGAATAGTAGTAACCAAAAAGGATGACACCACTTTGCAGGAACAGAAGAACAGATGAAAGACAGCACCAGTGGAAAATCCCTGACCTCCTGGTAGTTTGCTCACTGAAATCGTCCTTGGATTCAGAGATACTCTCCAGTTGCCTAAAGGAGTTAGATTTGCACTTGTAACCATGAATCCTGATACTATAGCCTCTTCTCAAAATGATGAAGCAGTTCACTAAAAAAGAGAGGGACCTCACTGCTAAACCTTAACAAACACTGGCAATACAGAATAACCCCTTCAGTTCAAGAAGCCAAAGGGCCTGTTCACATCTAACTGTACTACCTACCTCTCCCTCTATTTACTCATACTGTGGATGTGCTGCAAAGTAAACCACAGACCTCCTCTGTTCACTTCCCTCCAAGTACTTCAGTAGTTGGTGAGGGCACAAGAATGTGCATTTCTAAGGAGTCCTTAGGTGATGCTGGTGCTGCTAATACAGGGACCACACCCTGCAAACCAGGGACAGAAGTCATCTCAGATCTGCTCTGCCTAAAAACACCCTGGCAACTACTTGAAAGAACAGCTAAGGAGGTTTAAGAGGGGAAGGCTCCAATGGCTTTCTCTAGAACAAACTTCTAGATGCTGTTTGTTTTTAAAGTCACATGTAGACTTTAAAAACAAAAAGAACTTGTGATAGCAAATTGAGACCATTCTGTTCTCAGAAAGGTGAAGCTGTCAATTCCTTTCTGAAAGAAAATGATGCATTTTGTTTCAAGTACAGCACTTGTGCCTGAGTTTTTCATCTTGGGGTTTAAGAGCAATGTACTGCTTACTGGGTATAAACCAGCTGGTTTAGGTGCCAGTTTTCTACCCTAAGTAGTTCTGAGGATGGGCCAGTGACACCTTAGTTTTGCACACAGCCTAGTACATTCTGAATGCCAGTAAGTGTTCAGTGAATTAACAGACGAGGACATCTATCTGTAAGGTTTGATTTTAAGCTCACAATCTTGTTATGAAGTCAGCAAAAGATTTCCAAAATAGGTTTAGAGAACAGAAATCACTACCCTGGGGGACCCAGTCTGTAATTGAGTCTCCTAATACAACCTTAGTCTTACTACTTTTTTTTTTTTAAATAGGGCCTCCTTAAGTTTGCAGGGGCTGGCCCTCAACTCTTGATCTTCCTGCCTCTGCCTCTCAAGAAGCTGGTATTACAGCTTTGCACCAGCATATCTTGCATAAAAGAAGTTTCAAAAAAGAAGAAAGCCAATGTTCCAACAACTACTGTACATCTGACACTTAACACACATTATTGCATTCAATCCACAACAATCTTGGCGAGTTAGTGTTAACAGTATTTAGCTGGGGGAATCCGCCTATGCATTACAATCAAAAGGCACCAAATTCCTTTTCATCAAACATGGGTTACCACACAGGGGTGCTGTATCTACACCTTTATCTTCATTTAACCTCGTACAAGCCTGCAAATCACAGAGATGGAGAAAAGGAACAAATGGCTATTAATATGCTGATGACTGCAGTCAAACCAGTCTCGGTTTAATGTGAGCTCCTTAAGGGTGAACAGTGAAACGGTGGAAATTCTAAAGCTCTCTTGCCTACTGTTCTTTCTCCACTGTTCTTAACATATTGAAGGTTTTTCCTGAGGGGCATGAAGGCGTTAAATTTTGAGAAAAACAGGGTACAGGCTCTAAAATCCATTTTTTTTTTTCATTTTTCTTTTATTATTCATATGTGCATACAAGGCTTGGTTCATTTCTCCCCCCTGCCCCCACCCCCTCCCTTACCACCCACTCCACCCCCTCCGGCTCCCACCCCTCAATACCCAGCAGAAACTATTTTGCCCTTATCTCTAATTTTGTTGTAGAGAGAGTATCAGCAATAATAGGAAGGAACAAGGGGTTTTGCTGGTTGAGATAAGGATAGCTATACAGGGCATTGACTCACATTGATTTCCTGTGCGTGGGTGTTACCTTCTAGGTTAATTCTTTTTGATCTAACCTTTTCTCTAGTTCCTGGTCCCCTTTTCCTATTGGCCTCAGTTGCTTTAAGGTATCTGCTTTAGTTTCTCTGCATTAAGGGCAACAAATGCTAGCTAGTTTTTTAGGTTCTTAACATATTGAAGGTTTTTCCTGAGGGGCATGAAGGCGTTAAATTTTGAGAAAAACAGGGTACAGGTTCTAAAATCCGTCTTAAACCCCCAAGTTCAAAGAAGCGACTGGGCTAAAATCACAGCTAAGAGTGAAGGGCTCGCGGAACGCACGTGCGCGCGAAAGCTCTGCACCGCCCCAAGCGGCGGAGCGCGTCACTGCAGGGACTCCTGAACTAGCTTTTTGTTACTCTTGTTACGGCTTTGGAGAAATCAAAGCTGCCACCTCGACCGCCTCTCGCCCAGCCCAGCAGCCCTCAGCCCAGGCGCCAAGGGTACCTTGGTGTCCACGTCGGCCAGGCAGTCCCGGCGGAAGCTGTCGAACAGGCCCCGGCTCTTGAGCTGCTCCACGATGAGAGCGATGAGCTGCGGATCGCCGGGAGGCAGCGAGGCCGGGTTGATGGGACCGCCGCTCCCGCCGGCCCCCGTTGCGCCGGTCGCTGTCCCCGCCGAAGACTGGCCTGCTCCGCCACCGCCCACTGCGCCCGTGCCCCCGCCGCCGCCACCGTCAGCCATGCCTGCGACCCGAGCCCGCGCGGGAACCCGAATACGACTTCTCCGATACAGAGAGGCTGAGTTATGCAGGGGTGGGGGAGAGCAGCACGGAGGCGGTGGTGGTGGTGGTGGTGGTGACGACGGGGGTGGCGGTGGTGGTGGTGGTGGTGGTGACGACGGGAGTGGCGGTGGCGGCGGCGGAGGAGGAGGCAAGTTTGAAGGCAGCGGAGGTGGTGGTGAAGGCGACTCGCTCGGATTCTGGCGCGATACTGATAGCGTCATCACGGGCCTTTGCATTATGGGATGGCTGGTTTCCTACAGCCATCTCCAGCGTTCTTATAGGCAGAGAGCTGGCCGGCGGAAACTACGATTCCCGGTAGGTACCGGGGTTCATTCGCGTGAGTTCGCGGGGCACCGTGGGAATTGTAGGCTCAGGTCTTCGTGATCGCTGCAAACTGGCTGGCTTTCCTGCCGGGTCATTGCAGCCCTCCCACTACACCAGAACATACTGATTATAAGTGCCTGATTATAAGAATCATCTGCAGAACTGATTAAAAGCATAAGTTATCAGACTTATCCAATAAGAACTGATTCAGTATTTCTGGCTGGATGCCTGGGAATCTGTGCTTTTGACACGCATTCCCGCGTCCTCTTGAATGATATGTTCTGATAAAATTGGAGAATAGTGCGCTTGTTATATTTCTATTAAAAATGTTGTGCCTGCCCATTTGATTTAACAGCAATGCATACTCACTTTAGAAAAATCAGAAAATAACACTAAAGTGCGAAGAAGAAAATAAAAGTTGCCATTAAGTTTCCCAGGTGTGTGAATTTTCTTGGAAATATTAAATATTGTCATTGTTATTACTAAATATTGAGTAACTGGGATATGTCAGGAGTGATCTGTACTTTACACACACTGCTTTACAACGCTATAAAAGCGGGTCCTACTATTTCTTTTTACAGATGCAGAAATGGAGTTTGAAGAGCTTGTTACCAAATTATTTAACTAGAGGCACAAGAGTAGGATTTGAGCCCAGGTTTCTTGAGTTAACCCAGGTTAATCTAAGGCATACTGCTTCTTGAGAGCTACCTGGCAATTATACAATAGGTAAAACTATATCCTGACTTTTTATAGTGACATCTCACCATTGGATCCCCATAGTTGCCAACACCATCCTCTCTTCTTTCCTTTTTTTTTTTTTTTTTTGCCCATCAGCTCAATTCCTGCCTCCAACTCTGACAATTATGCCTGCTATTGTTACAGGAGCCATGGAGGGGATGTAAATAATAAATTCTGCAGTATCCCTGGCTCCTGGGAATATGCAGAACAGGCAGAGATTCAGGATGCTCACTACTCCATTTACTACTCAAGAGAGTTCAAATTAGCCTTCAAAATAAATCACCAGGTGTTAGATTATACTCCTTCATTCATCAACTCAATCATTATCAATGGTTAAATTATGAAAAACATTCTTAACAGATCACTATCCTTGAGTTACCTAAGGGCTATTCCTACTAGTTGATCCAACACTGAGTGCTCACCTTTAGTCCCAAGGGAAGCCCAATTCAGGGTACTTCAGCCCAGGTTCATTTCAAGTTCCCTGGTCCTTTTGGCCAACCACTTCATTTTTGCCACACCTTACTTTTTTCCTCAGAGAACACTTTTCTGCCCTCCCCCAGACCCAATTCAGTTTTGTCTCATTTTTGAACTTGATTCTTGTAGCAATTATTATAAGAGACAGTGAATAATTTAGAGGCTAATTGGATCCTGTTTCCCCTCCACAGTTTAAATTTCAGAGCAGAACCACAATGTCTTCATCACTGTGTCTTCTGCCCTTAGCAAATACCTAGCTCAAAGTGAAGGCAAAAGTTCCTGTTTGTTTTCTGTAGCTGTGGGATAAGGTCAGAAAGTGTGTGTGTGTGGGGGGTGGCAGTCATTATTAGTCACAGTCTCAGAAAAGAAAGACGTGCTATAGCAGGAAATGCTGGATTAGTCTTGTGAACTGTTGGGTAAGTGTTCACGGAGACTGACGGTTCACACTGTGGCATTCCCGCTGTCTGTCATGGGGTCCTTGTGCCCTGGTTGCTGGACTTTAGAAGACGCTGCACTTGGTACCCTGTAACCATTACCTTGCCTCTGGAACTGATATAAATGGGCTGTGTTGGGGGGAGGGGCAGTGAAGAATCAGATACAGGTTTGTTATTAACCCAAGGTCTCTTCCCTGCAAGAGATACGTAGTACACAATAATGGTCACCAGGAGGCGCGATTGCTGTATTAATCCATAACATTTGGAAATGTGCAGAGTATTGTTTTAATTTTGGCTCAGGTAGTAATCTAGATTTGTGGTGTCCTTTAGGAAACAAATCATTATTGAGTCTCAGTGTTAAAACTTATCTGTGACATGTTGAATTTACACATATTAAGTGTTGGAATATTTTATGTCAAAAGCTTCACAAAAAGGTGAGACTGCTACAAGTCCAAATCTATACCTTGCTGAAACAGGAAAAGGAACGAGGTCTATGGTTTGCCAAGAGAGATATGAAACGTACACAAATGGATGTGTTTTTACAACAGATGGCACTGGGTTGGGTCCTGTTACTTTGTTGAAGATGTGTTCTTGGGAAAGCTGAATTTCCCCTCAGAGCCAGTTTCTCTAGGGTGGTGGAGAGGATTAAGCCCAGTGATGGCAATCCATTTTAGCATAATTCCTTGCAAATGCTTGGCAACATAAAACTATCATGAATTTACTCCTGGGAAAGGAGGTAATTTGATTACTCTCCAGTGCCTCCACTAGCCACTAAATTCCACGAAGGCGGTGTTTGTCCACTGCATTCAGCATTGCATCCTCAACCCCTGAAGAGCGCCTGGCACATGGGCTCTAGATAAATCTGCAATGAAGGAGTGAAAACAAGATCAAAGGGTGAACTGGAAATTTGTCTTCAAAGATAAATCCATTTAAGACTTTTGATACTGCCCTGAACAAAAATTCAGAATACAGTCAATATCAGAGTCATGGTGGCTAAGGGGTCAGGACTGGGTACAAGCCAAAGGTGAAGATGGGTTGGTTTGTGGGTTGCCTTAGGTTGTTCCAACCTTCTCATCTTAGACCTGGTCCTTAAGCAAGAACATTCCAGAGCCTAAGACTGAGCCCAGGACTGTATTCAGATGCCGTATCCTCATGGGCTAGACCAGTTATTGGTCCTTATTCTTCACATGGTGGTTCTATTTCTTCTTGCCTCCACATAGTCACAGAAGACCAGACAGCTGTTCGTTTCTTAATTAACAGCATCAGAGTTTTTTGAGATTGTCTGCACCATCTGATCTTTGCTTCTTTCTTATGTTCATTTCTTTCTGATCTTTTCCAGCATCTCTTATGACAGACTGGATTCAAATACACAGTAGGAAAAGATGGCTTTCAGATTCCTTAGGGCCAGTTGACTCTACTACCACCCCTCCTTCCAAAGCTGCATCTTGATAAGATTTCAGGCCACTGTGTTTTAACACATTGGCAGTTCAGGTTGGTATTATTAGGGGATGTCTAGTGAAAAAGGAAACATGGGGGGAAAAAAGAAGTTTGGAATCTGATTTGAGTTTGGATCTAGCCCCTCTGTTTATCTAAAGCAATCCACTAAGCAGCCTGAACTTTGGTTTGCTGGTTTGTAAAATGGGAATAATAATGCTTACCTTGCAGGGTTGTCATGAATATTTATACAGAATATATATTTAGAGCCAGGTGGTGCATGCCTGTAATCCTAGTTATTCAGGAAGCAGAGATCAGGAGGATCACAGTTCAAAGCCAGCCCTGGGCAAACAGTCTGCAAGACCCTATCTTGAAAAAACCCATCACAAAAAAGGACTGGTGGAGTGGCTGAAGTGGTAGAGCACTCGCCTAGAAAGTGTGAGGTCCTGAGTTCAAGCCCCAGTACTACAAATATGTGTGTGTGTGTATTCTGCATATATATATATATGCAGAAAAAAAATATATATATTTTTTTAGAACCTGGCCCTCAGTAGGCCTTTGGTACCTAATAGCTAATAATACAGCAACCTACTGTATTCTGTTGTAGTCAGATGGGCAGAAGTCTTGGGTAGGTTTATGGCATCTAGGAATTAACACTAATAAATATATTACTTTGATAGTTTCAAACTCCTGATGTAAAGAATCACTCAGTCAGTTCTCAAATGGGTGATCTCCAAGAGATGAAGTTCACAGCCAAGCTTTGCATGCTATCACCACTAAGGCCTGGATGTGACCGCTATCTTTTCCTTCACGCTTCCAACACACCTCACATCTCATTCTCCAGTGAGATTCCTTAGGCTTCCAGGTACTTCTGGTTGCCTTCCCAAGATCCCCACCATCTTGACAAATAGGACCCAATTTTGTGTGGCACCACAGTGTGCCCTGTTAAAGTAACACTTGCTGGATTCTCTTGCTGCTGGGGGGACTATAAGTCCCAGTTCTGGGCAAGGAGACATAAACTGAGGGTTTGGGGAGAAGCTTTTCCCTGCTGATAGAAGCAGCACCGACCGTGCTGTAGCATCCCTTCCTCTTTCTGCATGGAGGTTACCCCAATACTTGGAGTAACCAAGGGTTACTTGGGGTCATGTAACTAGATCTGGCTGATGAATTGTGATCAGAAATAATTTATGTCACTTCTAGGCATAACAAGATACTCCTGTAGAGCTCTCTTTCTATCTGCTATGTTGAGATAGTGGGTGGTCTATCTTCTTGGGCCCCAGAGTAAACAGACATGCAGCAGAGACACCAGCTAACCAGTTTGGACATGTTCTTTGAGTAAGAAAGATACAACATCCTAATGATGTGACATTTTTTTTAAGCCACTGAGATTTTGGAGTTCTTTGTTCCTGCAGCATGAGTTAGCCTTTCTTGACTGATGGACCCCTGACTACTTTCTTCCACTAAATCCATCATTTGTGGAATGACCAAACATAAAAGCTAATGAGTGAATGACTGAAGGAGTGAATTTGAAGGAATCAAGTTCCTTTTTTTTTTTATTAGATTATAGTTAGATAGGGAGTCACTATAGATAATGATAATGTAGTGTACATTTCAAAAAGCTAGAAGAAGGGATTTTGTTTTCATTGTGAAGAAATGATGAATGTCAGAGGAGATAGATATGTTTAGCATAATTTGAACATTACTCAAAGTATATG